TGTGGATCCAGGAGATGCAGAGAGGGAGGGCGGCTGAGTCAGCACAACCTCGGAGAGGGAACCTGCAGATGTACAGACACACATGGCTACTTGGGTCAGAACATAGTTTAAGCCACTTAGGGACCTAAGCCTTGGGAGCTGGCAGAGGATTGGTGGGTGACCCTGGGCATCTGAAGACTCGCCGTACCTGTGCAGTGGGAGAGAAGCACGAGCACGAGAGGGGTCCAGGCCATGGTGCAAGCAGCTTCCTCTGTCCCCAGATGAGGTCTGAGGTGGGCTGGGCCTCTTTTATCTCCCCCATTGGCTGAGAAGAGGAGGAGCTGTTCACTCTTATTTGTTTTCCCCAATGATGATGAACCTGTTCCACCCTGAGAAGTAGCCAAATGTGAGCCTAGCTGATTGGACAGAGGAGCTGATAGGTGAGACTGGGTTTGCCCCCTGGGAGGGTCCGAGGCAGAAGCAGCTGCTGGGACCTTACACAGACCAGTGAGCAGGAGGCTCTGCCCAGCCCAGTGGGGATGCAGCTGCAGGGTCCCATCAGTAACCACAGGCCCCAAGCCACAGCGGGAGGCACCCACTATCTGGCTCTGGTGGACCCACAGCACCCCTGCTCTCACTGCTCAGAATTCATCTGTGGATGGAAACCCCTGGTCACTGTCAGTCCACAGACATCTCTAGACACACTACGTGCTGCCCACCAGGCCTCTGATATAAACAAAACCACCTTTCCTGAGATGGGTCTCTTGGAGTTCAAGGGGAAGGAGACAGGGAAATCAGGACCACAATCCCATGTGGCCAAAGCTGTAGGAGGGAGGGAGGGAGCAGAGGGCTCTCAGAGCCACCCCTGGGCTACTATTTCAACTGGAGCCCCTCAGAGGGCACTGGGGATTGTGGCTTAGACTGCACAGTGGGGTCATCCTGGAGAACAAAGCATTTCGAGAAGATGGGCAGGTTTGTGAGATGGTGTACCCGGCTTAGCAAATACTCAGATGCGTGAGAATGTGAGGCACTGAGGCAGAGCCTGCAGACTGAGCATCGTGGTGTCAGAGGGCAATGCACTGACTGGACGAGGGAGCACAGGGGATCCAGGTTGCTAAGAACCTTCTCTGTCCTAATGAGTAATCATCAAACATGCATGACCACTTAGGGAGGTGTATTTGACAGGCAACCAACTACACATATAGTGCGCACCATTTCATAAACTTGGCATTTATGTAAACCTGGGAAATCACCACTAATATCAAGAGAATGACTGCACTTGTCACAAGCGGATCCTTATTCTGTGAAATTCCTTTATTTTTCAACCTCTCTCCCCAGTTCCCAAGCAGGCATTGATCTGCATTTTCCCCACAAACATTCAATTTCGTATTTTAGCATTGCATAAATTTGAAATAATATACTATGCCCTGTCTTTATATTTCATCTGGCATTTTGAAACTGAACCCACGCTACATCATACATCCATGTCTTTTCGTTGCTAACAGTGCCCAGTCTGTGGATGATGCACAGGGCCTTCCAACACCCGCCCACGGAGAGATGGGGGTCATTTCCGGTTTGTGGAGATTGGAAGGAAAGCTGCTCTGAGTGTTTGTGAGGCCCCAGGGTAAGCACGTGCAGTGTGTGCGCCTTGCTCTCTGGTACACGGCAGCGGGACGTGCCAGGAGGCAGGTCTGTAACGTTTGAGGAAGTACCAGACCGTCTTGTGAAGCGATTCCATGACTTTCGCTCCCACCAGTGGGGCCTGAGAGCGGGTCCTGTATGGCGTCCCACTATGCACAGTCACTCACGGGACCTTCAGACGCTCTCAGGAGTGTGGTGCTGTCTCCTGTGGCTTCATCCAACGTCACTGACGCCTTCTGAGGCTGAGCATTTCTCCCCGTGCTTATTTAACATTATCATGTTATACTCGGTGGAGCTTCTTTTGAAATAACCTTTTCAGCATTAAGTGACCTACACTAAAGTTTTTTGTTTAGATTAGATATACACTTTGTCTGTCAAAGAGCACAATATTTACAACCTGGTAAAGCACAGTTGATTCGTCTCTGTTTTTTCTTCGGTGTTCCAGCTCAGAACGTTTTTCCATCTTGAGATTTTGTACACATTTCCTGGTGAAACTGTGTTTTCATCTCTAAATGTTAGCAGTTCTATTTCTAGCATACAGGGAGTTTTACTCATTTACACTGATAATGTGTTCCCCTCCTTTACTCCTCTCTTAGCACACAAGGTGGGGTTTAAAACATGTCTCTCCTGATCCACAGATGAAGAAGTCAAAGGAGCCAGTGAGAAGAAAGAAACCCTCACGGATTTTATGTCACAGAGGCCACAGCTGCTGGGTTCCACCCCGGGCACGTGAACAGGGGCTCTGGGGCCCCTGGGGGCAGGCACAGCTGCTCACACCTCAGCACCAGCTCCAGGACCGTGGGGCTCCCCCAGACTCCACATCCGCAGGGCCCCCTGGGTGTTAGCTCACCGGGTGAGAAGAGAAGAATTCTGAGGAGATGGTCCGAGGGGGCAGGGCCTGTCCAGAATGAGCTCCCACGCTGGGCTGCGGCCTGGACGCACGGACTCCCTAAGTCACATCACCTCTGGGCCTCTGCCCACCTCAGGCAGCTTCCTTCTCCCTCCGCATCTTCTGGACAGTTCTCTGCTGTCAGCAGGTGATGATACCTGTGATAGTTTACCTGACTGTAAGCATGTTAGGGGGCTTCCTTAGACCCTCGGATCCAGGAAAGACCCTCTCCGACTCAGGGAGGGGGGATGGGAGTGACAGCAGAGTCACAGACACAGACAGACAGGGGCAGGAAGGGCTGCGCTGGGAGCAAGGTGGCAGGTCTGTCTGGTTCCCAGGGACCTTGAGGAGGAGCAGGAGGAGCTTCCCTCCTGGAAGGTTAGGGTTGGAAGGGCTCCAGGCCTGTTCAGTGCATGGACCTCGCATACCTGACTCTAGGGGGCAGCAAAGCACCAATTCCCCATCAACCCCCTGAGTCCTGGCTGACCATCTCCTGTGCACAGCATACAAAAAGGACTGATTCTGAAGATTTTTACTTTAAGGAAGATCTGCAAGACTAGCAGCTCTGAGGGAGCCGTGGCCATAACTGAGACATCTTTTGAACAAAAGTTGCCTTAATATTAGAACAGGCAAACAAACCGAAATAAACCAACAAAAAAAACTTTCTCATGTGATTGCTCCATATGAATACAAAGCCCTTTGTAACACTCTTCATTGGGAACTGAGACTCTGCAAGATACCCACACCCCGCCCCTGGGAGGTAAGTCGCAGAGCTGAGCTGGGAGTTGCTGTGCAAAAATGTTCTCACGCTGTCGTTTATAATGCGCGTTTGGAGACTCCTTGGGATACGCGTCAAACCTCAAATGGGTGAGCTTGGTGTCGAGTTCAGGTATAACATCCCTATTAAAGGCCACATTTGCATCTTCTTGTGATGTAGTTGAATTAATAAAATAATAGTGTAACTGTAATAGTCAAACCCACTGTTAGCATTGTCTTGTTGCCTGGAAGCAGCTGGTTACACAAAACTTAGAAGAAACAAAATTGAGGCTTTTGTAGTGAAGGGAATTTTTGGTTATTATGAAAGTGATTGTGAGTTCACCCCTTTTTGGGGGGGCAAGTAGAAGCTGAAGTCCATAATTCTCAGTGACCACCATGTTATAGCTTAACCACCTGGTACAATGTAATTCAAAGGTGCCCATAGAAAACGGCATTAAGCATTAGCAAGAGAACTTTCCTCAAAAATTTTAAGATTGCCCTCATTTCACTTCATGTGAGGTATTGCATGAAAGTCTAAATGGGTCTGTTGTGTTCTAACACTAACTGCACCGCTCCAATGGAACAGTGCAGACCTGAATGTGGAGACGTGCCTAACCCTCCTCTTAGAAATTCAGAGGAGTTGTCATTTCCATATTTTGTGCAATTATATTATATCATAATGCAATGTGTGTGTGTGTGTTCCTGCCCTAATTCCCGAAGCAGAAATCCTGAAACATTTGTAATGCCCTGGGTGGCACAAGTGTCCCTTTCCCTGACATGGTGACTCTGGGCGGGTTCCTTGGTGGGGCTTGGTCACCATAGAGACCAACCCTAATCAGAAGGTTGGAATTTTCAGCTCCAATCCCACTCTCTTAACAACAGAGGAGGGCTGAGATAGAGTTCATAATTAACCATGTCTGTGATGTGAAAACCCCATACAATTCCTCAATGTATGAGACTGTGGAGCTTCTGGTTTGACCAACGAATCCACAGCAGCAGGGTGACACATGCCAGCATCACAGGGACGGTCACTTTTATGCTCAGGAGCTTCCCAGACCTCATCACCCCTGCACCACTTCATCTGCCTCTTCCACTCTATCCTTTACCCCACTCTCTAACAATCTGGTAGAGTAAGTGTTCCCCTGAGTTCCACGAGATGCTCTAGCAAACTAATCACACCCAAAGGCAGGATCATGGAACCTCCTGATGCAGCCAAATCCCACAGAAACTGGGGGCAGTCTGCAGACGTCCTGTTCATGATTGGCATCTGAGTGGGGACAGTCCTGTGGGATGGAGAACTGACCTATGCATCTCACATGGGCTCCAGGCAGATAGTGTTAGCACTGAGGTAAATTGCAGGGAAGACAGCTGGTGTCTGACAGAATCTCTTGCTGTGATGAAAAATTCCCTCACATTTCGTGGCCACAAGTGTCAGAAATGAAGCTTTCAACGTGAGTAGTAAAGAAGGTAAAAATGGAGGACAAAGTGAAGTTCTTTTAGTTAAAAAAATATTTCTTCTTCTTCATTTACTCCAAATCCTGTTGGCCTGTGATCTCAGGCTCTGTGATCTCCCATGGGTGTTCCTGGGATGACATGTGCTGCCTTAGGTGACAGCCTTAAGCTGTGGGTTACGCTTTCCTCCTCAAGGACAAGTGTTGCTACAGAGAAGCCTCCCCTGCAGGGGCCATCACTGAAAGGGAAGTTCAAAGCCAATTTCTATGGGTCCAGGGGTTTCTGTCTCACTTCCTCGTCATCTGAGCCACTGTGAGTAACTGTAGCTGCTCCCACTGCCATGACCTATACCACAGTAATAGTCGGCCTCGTCCTCAGCCTGCAGCCCAGAGATGGTCAGGAGCCCTGCATTGGCTGAGGAGTCTTTGGATCCAGAGAAGCGACTGGAGATCCCGGAGCCCTGATGCTTGTTTGAGTCTGTGTGGTAGGACAGCAGATACCGGGGAGGACCTCCTGGCTTCTGCTGGTACCAGAATATAGCATAGCTGCCAACACTGAAGCCACTGCTCAGGGTGCAGGTGAGTCTGGCTGGGGCTCCCGGAGATGCAGACAGGGAGGGCGGCTGAGTCAGCACAGGCTGGGAGAGGGAACCTGCAGACACACAGACACTTGTCAGTGATGGGGCAGAACCAGTGGAACCTTCTCAGGAGATGGAGCAGGAAGGGAATGAACTTGGGAACCGAGCCCTGGTCCCTGAGGCCTGTCCCTACCTGTGCAGTGAGAGAGGAGCACGAGGAGGAGAGGAGTCCAGGCCATGGTGCACACAGCCCCTGAGCCCACAGTGGGGCTGAGCTACTCAGGCCTCCTTTTCTCCCCACCCTCTGCCGGGGGAGGGGCTGTCCATGCAAATGTGTGTCCATCCAGGAGCTGCCCAGCCCCTCCCTGAGCCCTGGTGCTGGAGCTCGGCTCACACCCCAGACAGAGAGTGATGTAGGTTGGCTTCACCCCTTTAAACATAACGGGGATCAGACAAGATCAGGTGCATTCAGGGTAGCATGGCCTTACAGAGTGTATGAATGAACCTCAAACACTAATTTGAAGGAACATAAACACCCCTATGTTCATTGCCCCATTACTTGCAGTTGCCAAGATATGAAAACAGCCTAAGTGTCCATCAGTGGATGAGTGGATACAGTAATTATGGGACATTTACACAGTGAAATACTGCTTGGCTATAAAAATAAAGAAAGTTTTACCCTTTACAATAGTATGGATGGACATGGAAAATTTTATGCTGTGTGAAATAAGCCAGTCAGAGAAAGACAAATATCATGATTTCACTCACATGTGGAATGCAATGAAAAAACTGAACTAATAAGCAAAATAAAGACACACTCTTAGATAGAGACCAGGGTGACAGCTAAGAGAGGCAGGTCAGAGGGTGGAGAGACTGAGCAAAAAGGAAACAGGACTCATGGACAAGGACAAGCGTAGGGTGATTATGGGGGGAGGGGTGATTAAAGGGGGACTGAATGGTAATGGAAAAATATGATCAAAGAAAGAAAAAGCCTGGGGAGGCAGCACCTGCTGAGACAATGCCAAGGTCTTTGCTCAGAAGATCTGCCAGGCCACAGAGGACCCATCTGCAGAGTAACAGTCAGTCAGTTCCGGCCCCTCCCCCAGCCCCACGCTCCATTGAGTAAAGGGTCCTAGCTGAGCATCTGTGTAAGGAGCCCTGGACAGTCCCACAGCGCCCCCTGCTGGTCACAGTGCACACTCCTCACCATGGCCTGAAGCCCCAAGAGCCCTGCTGGTCTCTGCAGCTCAGCAGGTTGCACATGGTTCCTTGGGCTTCATTCCTAAAACCAGAGCGACTTTATGATCCAGAATTCCACTTGTGGGTATTTGTCTGAAGAAAACTAAAACATCTCTAAAAGACATGTGCAACCCCAGGTCCAAGATGGCATTGTTGTACAACAGCCAACATATGGAAATTGCCTAAGTATCTGCTGATGTGTGAATGGCTAAAGATCATGTCATTCATAATATATAATGTTAAATCAATGTACAAATGAGCCTTTGAGAGAAATGGAATCTTGTCATCTGACACAACATGAATAACTCTTAGGGACATTATGCCACGTAAATAAGTCAAACAGCAGGACAGACACCCTGATCTCACTTATATGTGTAATCTGATCAACAAAAAAAAACTAATAAACAAAAGATACAGAGAACAAATTGGTGGTTGCCAGAGGCTGAGGTAGGGTGTGACACAAATGAGTGAATAAGTTCAAAGGTACAAATTTGCAGTTATAGCATAAATCAGGCCCTGGCCAAGTAGCTCAGTTGCTTAGAATGTGTTGTGATGAGGCAAGGCTGTGGGTTCGCCATGCTCAGGACACATACAGGAAGCAACCAATGAATGTGCAACAAGTGGAACAACAACATCCACATCTGTGTGTGTGTGTGTCTCTCACTGTCTCTCTCTTTCTCTTTCTCCCTGTCTCTCTTCCACCCCCTTCTTGCCTCTCTCTCTAAACGCATTTCCCCAAAGAAGCCATCATTATTGTTTTTAGAATGTTATACAAGCCAATATATGGGAAAAAACAGACTCATCACATTGGGCAACACCATGTGCAATTCCACTCAATGGACAGGACAATAAAATATTTATGAGTGAAATAGTTCAGGAACAGGCACATTTGTAAATATTTCCAACTGCGGTCGCACGTGCCCATGAATGAACCCTGAGTTCATACTCACATCTGCAACTCTAACACGTCACTGCCGGGAGAATCACACGTCCTCCCCCTGGTGATACGTGTCAACCTCCACTACTGGGGTGAGCAGCCTGGCTCCCACCCGCACCCACCCACTCACGTGATTATGCAATGACAGTGCACAGCACAGCCACACCTGCACTGTTACCTATACCCCCTGGGAATCCACTTTGTCCCTTGGAGCACAGTTTTATGTGCAGTTTCCTGTGCTGGTAGTGTGACAGCAGCCCCCACTGTGACAGGTACTTTACTCAGTAACTTTTCTCCCCACCCCTCCCCTCAGGGCAGGGGCTCATGCCTTCTCAATGCAAACTGATGGGCTCCTGTCACCTTCCACATTCCACCACGGGACCCTCAACCTCCTAACCTGCATGTCAAGTGCACACGTTCAGGTCTGTCATTGTGTTTCACAGTTTTCACGCATTTCACAGCATCATAGTGCCATTTAGGTGACATTACATTGTCATACAGAATAATTCACTTGCTCCTTCTTTGTTTTCACACAGTCAAATTTACAACAGATGTTCATACTCTCCCTACAGTTTTGCCTCTTCCAAAATGTGACATCATTAGAATCATGTTAAAAATGACATCACCTTTTAAAAGGAAGCCCCTTCTTGGAGGACCTTACGGCTGCTCCCGGCTTGGGGTGAGCCCACACACAGCTGTAATACACACCCACGCACGGCCTGGTGGTTGCTCTCAGGGTGGGGAGACTGTTGATAAAGACACTTTAAACTTTCACATGCAGGTGTTTCTCTGAACAGAAATTCCGATTTATTTTTATAATGTCATTTTATTTACTGTAACTTTTTACTTGCGATATAATTGATATACAATATTATATTAGTTTCAAATGCACATCATTCTATGTTGATAAATATTGCAAATTCATCAGCAAAATGAGTCTGCTTAACTTCCATCACTACACATGGTAACAATGTTTATTTTTTCTTGTGCTATGAATGTTGGGGATCCACTCCTTCAGCTGCGTTCACACACGCACGGCCACAGCATCTCTGCCCCAGTCCCCGTGCTGTCCACGACGTCCCCCGGACCATTCATTTCACACCTGGGAGTTGGTTCTCTCTCACTGCCTTTACCCACAAGGCCACCTCCTTCATCCCAGACCTCTGGAAACTACCAATCTGTTCTTATTTTATGCTTTTACATGGGCATATTTTACAGAAAATTTATTGAAAATCAGAAGACACAACAAAGCACTCAGCAGTGATTACACTGAAGGACATTATAAAGTGAGATGCAAACAGCTGACTCATCCTTCATGCAGAGCACACACAGTGCTCAGGCCCCGTGGTAGGTTTAAGGACCCAACAAAATGTTTTATTTATTTGAACATCACAAGAAAAACTGAATGCAAATCAGCCTTGAAGTAAACTGTCTCCATCGTGTGGGAAAATGGACTTTCAGTTTCATTTAGGACACTCAGTCTGGGAGAGTGCTGTTGTGAGTGACTGTGAGGACAGAAGGGAGAGAAGCATCCTGCAATCACAGACAGTGTCCTTGGGGGAACCTGGGCCAAAAACATCAACCAGAGAATGAGCAGAAGTCACAGGGCACAGGCTGAGCCTAAGCAGCAGCAGCTGCAGTGTTCACCCAGCTCCCAGATGACACAGGGGTTCTTGTCTCACTTCCCCACAGGCCTGCAGCACTGTGCGACCGCTGAGATTGTCATCATAGGTCTGGCAGTAATAATCAGCCTCATCCTCAGCCTGGAGCCCAGTGATGGTCAGGGTGGCTGAGCTGCCAGACTTGGAGCCAGAGAATCGGTCAGGAACCCCTGAGGGTCGATTGCTATTAGCATAGATGAGGGTTTTGGGGGCCTTTCCTGGGAGCTGTTGGTACCAGTGCACATTATTACCCCCAATGTTGGAGCTGCTTCCAGTGCAGGAGATGGTGACCCTCTGTCCTGTGTTCCCCGACACTGAGAGTGGCTGAGTCACCACAGACTGGGCCCAGGACCCTGGGGGACAGAGACACACAGAGATGGTGATTATGAGTCTAGAGACAAACAAGAAAGTACAGTATGAGTTTGACGAGGTTGCCACCCCCTTTCCCCACATGCAGTCACCTGTGCAGTGAGCCAGGAGGGTGAGCAGGAGAGGGGACCAGGCCATGGTGGAGACCATCCCTGAGTCCTGCCTTCTGTGGCCCCACAGCTGAAGCAGGGTTTCCCAAAACCTCTCCCTTCCCTTTGTACTCTGAGAGAGGAGGACCCATTTATGCAAATGATTCCCCAGCCACGCCTCCTCAACTATTTCATTCCTCCCTGAGCCAAAACCACCTACCCCTCCCCCAGGACCCTGTGCCTGACTGTGAGGTGGGGCTTTGTGAGATCTGTGCACTGGGGAAGTCACATCTCTGAGCCTCAACTGGCTGGTGTCAGCTCAAATCACCCCAGTTTCCTCAATAGCAACACTCGAGCGCCCTCTACTGCCCAGGCCCATACTCCATCGTGTGTGGTGACAAGAACCCAAAAGAGACAGCCTCTGACTTCCACATTCTGTCCACTGAAAACTGCCTTAGGGCCAGGCCAAGTGTCCCATCTTGTGCCTTCCCCATCACCCCAGGGCACATTAGTGGTGTCCTCAGAGACCTCAGGATCAGCCTCTCCTCACCTCCCTGGGATTTCCATGCTCAGGAATAACGTGCTGTCTCTTACTTAAACCCTTAGGCCAGTACCAAGTCCAGAGCAGTGACCAGCCCCAGGCAGGCATGTCCCCTTCTGTGCAGGACACGGGTTCGTTGCTCTCTCGTGTAAGAGGTCTCCTTCCCTGTGGGTCCCCAGCAGAACTGAGGAGAAAGGGCCCCTTCTCTCTAGGGATGGGGAGGTTATGGGGAGAAAGCCTCCCTGCTCCTCCCTAGTGTGTGATGTTGAGTGCACCTTTGTCATCATCCCACCTGCAGGGGACCCTCGGTCCCCACACACGGTGAGCAGCTATCCCTCCTGGGAGCCTGCCCTCCAGGTCACAGTCTAAGGTTGCCCGGGACCTTGCCCTACGGCATTGTGCGTGTCACGTCTCTACGAGTAAAGAGGACAAACATGCAGAAAGTTCCAGGAAAAAAATTTAATTGCTATGATAGAATTTTATTAAAACAGTTTATAATTAGTGACCACTTACCCAAATTAAAATGCATGTATGTTATAATGCATAAATGTCACCTGAGTAAGATTTGAGTTAAAAATACAACCATGATAACTATTTATAGCAATTGTGGTGAAACTTGATAGAGAAGCACGGGGAATGCAATCCCTTCTGTTCTTGGTTGAAGAGGAGTGCACAACATTTTCTACAATCCTTCCATTTTACAGCTGTGAGCTGTGCACTGTGGTCTGAGCTGCAGATAAAAAAGCTCCAGTTGGTGACCAGCCAATCCCCGTGAAGGGCTGCATTTCTTTCTCTTCATTTCAGACCCTTCCCAGTAACAGAAAAGCCACCGCAGACACAGCCTCCAGGAGAGAGGGTGTTGGTTTCAGGCTTGTCTCTGGGGAGGGCACCCCTCCAGTCCCTGTCACTTGTGTCCAGAATTCTCAGAATAAAGAAATTGCCCTGGCCGGTGTTCCTCAGAGGGTTGAGCATGGGGCTGTGAACCAAAGCGTCACCCATTCGATTCTGAGTCAGGCCACATGCCTGGGTTTTGGGCCAGGTTCCCAGTGGAGAGCACCAAGAGGCAACCATGTGTTGATATTTCTCCCCCTCTTTCCCTTCCTTCCCCACTCTCTAGAAATTAATAAATAAAATGTTTTAAAAAAGTTGTTTACTCAGCATCCCATTGACAGCCACACAAATCCAACTGCTCCCAGAAATTTCTGACAATGATCCCTTGTCTGAGTCACGAAAAAGTGCAGACATAACTGGCAATATACCTCATGTCACAGGCGCTTTTGAGAAAGAAGGGTTGAGAAGGAAGGTGTTGAGCCTGGCTAGAGGTGTCCCAGGTGGTGACTGAGTGAGGGACAGCCCAGCCCTGAGAGCACAGGGAGGTCGTGTCTCACGTCCCCACACACTGGGAGCACCGCCAATGCAATCAGCAGCCTCCTGCACTGCCTGCAGCCCAGAGACAGTGGGGAGGAGGGCTGAGCTGCTGACAAGGTCAGAGACTCACCAGGGATGCTGAGCATCAGACTCATCCCAGTGGAGCAGGGGTCCCGGGCACTTCCTGGAGGACCTGGTAACAGGACCCAGTGATACCCCTGTCTCTGGTGTTTCCTGCTGAGGGAGATTCTTCCTCCTAAGGACTCTGACCCTGAGGATGCTGGGTCTGCGCCGGCTGAACCCTGACTTCTGCAGGGACAGAGAACCTGAGACCAGCAGAATCCAGGATAATGTACCCTCAGGGAGAGGGGAGAGCTGAGTGTGTGTGAGAGTGTGTTTTTGTGTGTGATTGCGCCCTGATCTGTGCATGTTATATCATCCTCATGCAAACAGTGCTAGAATCACGCTCCAGAGTGAGAGACGGAGAGAGGTGTATGTCCAGTGCGCCCTCAGGGAGCCATTTCCTCAGAGATGAAGCATGAGGACAAGGGGCATTCTGTTCTTTTTTTTTCTGTCCCCTGAGGTTGGTTGACAGAGCAAATCCAACCCTGGGGCCAGTTCACTGAGACCTCCATGGTCCTGGAGCCTGGACTGAGGAAGACCACTTTCCCTGGCAAAATAAAGGCAAGAAGGAGAAAGTTCGTGCAGATTCGCTCTGGTAACAACTGAGATTAATCCCAAGGCCACGTCCCGTGGGGGCAGTGAAATCTGACAGTACTCTGTCTGCAGGACCAGACCCTGGCCATGGGGTCTTCAGGTCTCAGGGAGCACAGGACAGGGGTGAGCAGTCAGCCCCTTCCCTCTGCCCTGACCTCACAGCCAGGCCCACAGTGGCATGTGGCCCCCAGAGACTCCCTGGGATGGCTAAGAGTAGATGGTTGACTTTCATCTTGGAAAAGGGCTGACGCTTGGCACTTCAGCAATCTGAGAAAACATGCATGTGGTGGAGTGAGTTCCAGGGGACTGAGAAAACCAATGTTCTTAGGAAGAAGAAAACGGTGGCATTTGCTGAAATATGATATCCAATCCCCCCTTTGCTTATGGTGTAAGACACCTTGTGCAGAGTCTCAGCGTGTCTGACTGAGGAATGACACATGCACCCAGAGCTTATTTCTGTAAATACTCAAACTTTGGGTGAAAACTTCATTTTTTGGTATAAACTATAATTGTGTTGTCATATTTAAGACATTGAGTGCAGTAGGCAGTGAAAGAGAACAATATAAGTTGTAAATAGGAATAATGTTGAAAGAAATTTTATGCTGATCTCACTTCTGTTAAGTTTCCTCCCTAGAAATAGACGCCAGGAGAATGGACAGCTGTCATGACAGCTTTCATGACAACCAGACCTCTCAGAAGCAGTCTCCGAGCGCCCCCTGGTGTTGAGACAGAGACACACCAGAGTGCCATAGGGTGAGCAGAGAAAGCTTCTACTGCCCCACTCCTCTGCCCCTGTCCTCCTTCCTGCCTTAGAACCAAGCCAGGTGTGCCCTCAGGCAGCTTCGTCATAATCTCAGGGCAGACATTTTGCTCTACACAGACACCCCGGGGTGAGTCTGTCCGTGTCCTCCTTGGCTGTTCTGTGGTCAGGGCAGAAGTCTGGTGTCTTGTACAAACTTCTCTGAGATCAGGAACAAGTCCAGAGCACTGATCACCCCCATAAAGACAGGTCCCCTTCTGTGCTGGACACATGTTTTTTCTTATATTGACCCCTCCTTTGCGGCCAGAGCTCTCTTCCCTGTGGATACCCCAGAGCCTGAGAAGATGGGGGTCCTTCTGTCCAGGGATCAGGAGGGGGAGAAAGGAAGCCCCTGTGGATGCCTAGTGGGCGGTGCTGTGGACCCCTCACTGTCTGCCGGGATCTCCACCTGGAACAAGTGAGCCCCTCACCGAGAGCGTGGTTCCCTGTGAGACTCTGTGCCCAGGTCACCGCCATCCGTCCTCAGGGGCCTCCCAACCTGACCTTGTCTGCTCCTTTTCCATGTGATCAAACACAGCAAATGTGCACTAGGTTCCGGAACAAAATGACTTTAACACTCAAACTCTTTTACAGGGGATGATGAAAACTGCATGTGCACATTTGTTGAGAATGGTATAGGAGCCAATCTCTGGCAAAGGGCAGACTCATCACCATGGCGAGCCATCTCTTTCAACTCTGTGAAAGGACAGAACAATGAAACACAGAGGAGCACAGTGATGCAGGAACACGCACGTTTATAAACATTCCCTTGTACAATCTTCTCCCTCCATGACACGGAACAGGAGTTCCCTCTGCTATCTGCAGCTCTAACAGGTCACAGCTTAAATCAGTCAGGCTCCTCCCCTGGTGACAAGTGTCAATTTCCATTACTAGAGTGAGCAGTCTGGCTCCCACCCGTGCCCACCCACTCACGTGATTATGTAACCACAGTGCACAGCACAGCCACACCTGCATTGTTACCTGCACTTCCTGGGAACTCACTTTATCACCTGGAGCACAGTTTTATGTGCAGTTTCCTTTGCTGTTGGTGTGACAGGCACCCTCACTGTCACAGGAACTTCGGTCAGTAACTTTCTTCCCCATCCCCCCAGGGCGGGGCTCATGCCTTCCCAGTGCAGACTGATGGCTGCCTGTCGCCTTCCACATTCCACCACGGGACCCTCCACCTCCTAAACTGCATGTCATGGGCACATGTTCAGGTCTGTCATTGTGCTTCACAGTTTTCAGTGAATTTGACAAGGTCGTGGTGTGTTTAAGTGCCACTACATTGTCACGTAGAATAATTTTATTACTCCTCAAGAAATACCTTGTGTTCACACAGTGACGGCTTCTCCTTCTAAAGCCACGTGGACCACAGGTGTTCATGCTCTCCCTACAGTTGTGTTTTCCAAAACGGGACATCATTAGCATCACACTGTGAATCACACCCCCTCCTAAAAATGAGCCAGTTCTTGGAGAACATCTCCACTGCTCCCAGCTTGGGGTGAGTCCACACGCAGCTGTAATACACACCCATACACTTTCACGTTGGGGAGACTGTTAATAAAGACACTTTAAACTTTCACGGGCAGGTGTTTCTGTGGACAGAAATTTGGATTTATTTTCACCATTTCATTTTATGTACTGTAACTTTTTATTGAATTATAAATGACATACAATCCTATATTAGTTTCAAGGGTACAACATTATCATTCCATATGAATATATTGCAAAATCAACACCAGAGTCAGTCTAGCTGACAACTCTCCTCAAACATAGTTACAATTATTATTATCTCTAGTCCTGAGAAAGTTTGAGGTCTGCTCCTTTACCTGTGTTCACACGTGCATGGCCACTGCATCTCGGCCCTAGTCCCCGTGCTGTCCACAACATCCACAGAAGCAATTAATTCAAAACCAGAATGTTGCATCCTCTGACTCTTTTACCCACGTGGACCAACCCTTTCCATGTCTGGACACCACCAAATTGTTCTAATTTTATACTTTTATAAGACTACATTTTGCACTAAAATCTGAAGACAAAACAAAGCAGTCAGCAGTGATTACACTGAAGGATATTACAACACGAGACGCCAGCAGCGCTGACTCATCCTTCACGCACAGCACACATGGTGCTCAAGCCCCACGATAGGCTCTGGGCCCAACGCAATGTTTCCTTTATGTGAACATCACAAGAAAATATTAATACAAATGAGTCTGAAAGTCAACTGTCCCCAGCAGGAGGGGAGATGGACTTTCAGTTTTACTTGGTCCCTTGGTCAAGGAAGGTGCTGCTGTGAGTGACATTAGAGATGGAAGGAGAGGAGAATCCTTCCTCCCACAACGTCCCTGGGAGAACCTGGGCCCAGGACAGCAGGAGAGAATGAGCAGAAGGCACAGGGCACAGGCCGAGCCTGAGCAACAGCAGCTGCAGGGTTCACCCAGCTCCCAGATGACACAGGGGTTCTTGTCTCACTTCCCACAGGCCTGCAGCACTGTGAGACCATTGAGACTCTTGTCCCATGCTGAGCAGTAGTAATCAGCCTCGTCCTCAGCCTGGAGCCCTGTGATGGTCAGGGAGGCTGAGGTCCCAGACTTGGAGCCAGAGAATCGATCAGGAACCTCTGAAGACCTATTGCGATTACCATAGATGAGGAGTTTGGGAGCCATTCTTGGAAGCTGTTGGTACCATTGTACATAATATCCCCCAATGTTGGAGCTACTTCCAGCACAGGGGATGGTGACCCTCTGTCCTGGGTTCCCTGACACTGAGGGTGGCTGAGTCAGCACAGACTGAGCCCAGGATCCTGCAAAACAAAGACGCACAGAGATGGTGATTCCGGGTCCAGAGACAGGAGCAGGAAGAAGACCCCCAAGTGTCCTCCCCTTATCCAGTCACCTGTGCAGTGAGCCAGGAGGGTGAGCAGGAGAGGGGACCAGACCATCATGGAGTCCATCCCTGAGTCCTGCCTTCTGTGGCCCCACAGCTGAAGCAGAGCTTCTCCCAAACCTCTCCCTTCCTCTCCTCATACTCTGAGACTGGGAGGGCCCACTCATGCAAATGAGGCCCCTCAGCTTTCTGATTCCTTATTGGTCCCTCAGACAGGCCCCTCTGTGGTTGCATGGGGAGGGGGTGGCAGGATTAGGGGTGTGTGGGACCCAAGGCGTAGAAAGGTCACAGTTGTGAGCCCTGAGCAGAGGGCACAGGTAGAGCTAGGTGACTGCAACCAGCTCTATCACCCCAGAACCCTCAGGAACAGGCCAGGAGCGCCCCCTGGTGTTCAGACAGATTCAGACGATGGTGCCACCTGGTGACCAGAGCCATCAGAGACAGCTTCTGCCCCCTGCTCTGCCCAGCATTCTCCTGCCTTAAAGCCAAGCCAGGTGTATCCCAAGGTAGCTTTCTCATCACCTGAGCGCAAAATTTATGTTCTACACAGACACCTCAAGATGAGTCTGTCCATGTCCCCCTCGGCTGTTCTATGGTCAGGACAGAGGTCTTGTGTCTTACACAAACTTCTCTGAGATCAGGAGCAAGTCCAGAGCACTGATCACCCCCATAAAGGCAGGTCCCCTTCTGTATTGGACACATGTTTTTTCCTTATATTGTCCCCTCCCTTGAAGCCACAGCTCTCTTGTCTGTGGTTCCCCCCACAGCCCTGAGAAGATGGGGGCCCTTCTGTCCAGAGATCGGGAGGTAGAGAAAGGAAGCCCCTATCGATGCCCAGTGAGTGCACGTCACTGTCTGTCGGGATCTCCACCTGGAACGAGTGAGCCCCACACCGAGAGCATGGTTCCCTGTGAGACTCTGTGCCCAGGTCACCGCCATCCGTCCTCAGGGGCCTCGCAATGTGATCTTGTCTATTGCTTGTTCGTAATATCAAAGATAGCAAATGTTCAGTTAATTCTAGAAAGAATGAAGTGAGCTTTCAAATCACTTTGGTAGAGATAGATTAAAACAGTTTATAAGTCATTTTTGAGAATGGTGCAGGAGCCGGTATCTGGCAAAGGGCAGACTCAGGACTGTGGGGTGGCATCCCTGCACACCCCGCCAGCAGACAGGGCAGTGGAACGCATGCGAGTGAGCCAGTGCAGGGACATGCACGTTTGCAAATGTTTCTATGTGCAGTCGTCTGTCTCCATGAAACCACGGCTGAGTTCACACTGCTATCGGCAACTCTGACACGTCACTGCCGGGAGCATCACGCCTCCTCCCCCTGGTGACAAAGGTCGATTTCCATTCCTGAAGTGAGCAGTCTGACTCCCACTGTGCCCACCCACTCACGTGATTATGTAACGACAGTGTACCTGTCCCTCACTGTCACAGGTACTTCAGTCAGTAACTCTCCTCCCCTCTCCGCCCCGCAGGGCAGTGGCTCAGGCCTGCACAGTGCAGACTGATGGCTGCCTGGCACCTTCCGCATTCCACCACGGGACCCTCAGCCCCTAAACTGCATGTCATGTGCTCACGTTAAGGTCTGTCACTGTGCTTCACAGTTTTCAATGCATTTCACAAGGTCATAGTGCCACTTAGGTGCCATTACATTATCACATAGAATAATTTTATCACTACTCAACAAATAGCTTGTGTTCACATAGTGACCTCTTCTCCTTCTAAACCATGTGTGCCAGAGGTGTTCATGCTCTCCCTACAGTTGGTCTCTCCCAGAATGGGACATCAATAACATCACACTGTGAATCACAACTGCTTTTAAAAATGAGCCACTTATTGGAGAATATCACGGCTTCTCCCAGCTTGGGGTGAGTCCACACGCAGCTGTAATACACACCCATACACTTTATTAACAGTTGGGGAGACTGTTAATAAAGATACTTTAAATTTTCACATGCAGGTGTTTCTGTGGACAGAAATTCTATTTATTTTATATAAATATAATTTTGTTTTATTTACTGTATCTTTTTAATTGAGGTATAAATGATACACAATATTATGTTAGTTCGGCTACACAACCTCATCATTCTATATCGATATATATTACAAAATCATCACTAGGTTAAGTCTACCTGACATCTGTCACTACACATGGTCACAATCTGTGATATTTCTTCTGCTGAGAAAGTTTGAGATCCGCTCCTTCAGCTGCGTTCACACACGCACGGCCACAGCATCTGTGCCTTGGTCTCCGGGCTGTCCACGACGTCCCCCAAACCATTCATTTCACAACTGGGAGTTGGTCCCCTTTAATTCCCTTTACCCACCTAGACAAAACTACCAATCTCTTATAATTTGATACTTGTAAGGGGCCATATTTTGTACTAAAAATCAGAAGACAGAACAGCAGGTCACCGGTGAATACACTGGAAGACATTATAAGATGAGAGGCAAACAGCTGACTCATCCTTCACGCACAGCACACACAGTGCTCAGGCCCCGGGATAGATTCAGGAGCCCAACAAAATGTTGTATTTTGTTACCATTACAAAAAATAATGAATACAACTTAGTCTGAAAATAAACTGTCCCCAGCTGGAAGGGAGACAGACTTTCAGTTTTGTTTGGACCCTTAGTCTGGGAAAGTGCTGCTGTGAGAGACTTAGGGCAGAACACAGAAGAGATTCCTTCAATGCCAGACAGGATCCCTGGGTGAACCTGGGCCCAGGACAGCAGCCAGAGAATGAGCAGAAGGCACAGGGCACAGGTGGAGCCTGAGCAGCATTGGCTGAAGTGTTCACCCAGTTCCCAGATGACACAGGGGTTCTTGTCTCACTTCCCCACAGGCCTGCAGCACTGTGGGACCACTGAGACTATCGTCCCATGCTGAGCAATAATAGTCGGCCTCGTCCTCAGCCTGCAGCCCAGTGATGGTCAGGGTGGCTCAGCTGCCAGACTTGGAGCCAGAGAATCGATCAGGGACCCCAGGGGAGCGATCTTCATCATAATTGATGAGGGTTTTGGGGGCCATTCCTGGGAGCTGTTGGTACCAGGACACATAATTACCCCCGATGTTGGAGCTGCTTCCAGTGCAGGAGATGGTGACCATCTGTCCTGGGTTCCCTGACACTGAGGGCGGCTGAGTCAGCACAGACTGGGCCCAGGATCCTGCAAAACAAAGACACACAGAGATGATGATTATGGGTCTGGAGACAAAGAAGAAAGTACAGCATGAGTTTTGCCCAGGGCCCCATCCCCTGTCCCCATATTAGGTCACCTGTGCAGTGAGCCAGGAGGGTGAGCAGAAGAGGGGACCAGGCCATGGTGGAGTCCATCCCTGAGTCCTGCCTTCTGTGGCGCCACAGCTGAAGCAGGGATTCCCCCAAACCTCTCCCTTCCCCTCTTCATACTGTGACAGAGGGAGGGTCCACTCATGCAAATGAGACACTCCCCACCCACAGCTGTATGATTCCTCTCTGGGCCTAAGGCAGGTGCCTCTGTTTGAGGAGGCTATGGGTGTTTGCAGGGTGGGGCCGTGTGAGGCCCATGGGTGGGGGAAGTCACAACTGTTAGCCTAGGACAGAGGGCACTAGGCAGTGCCAGGATATTGGTAACAGCTCAAAACACCACTGGCCCTCATAACAACACCCAAGCGCCCTCTAGTGTCTAGGTCAGGCACAGCATTGTGTGACTTGGTGCCCAGAACCCATCAGAGAAAACCTCTGCATCCCAGGGCTCTCTGTCCACTGAACCCTGCCTTAGGTCCAGGCCAGGGGTCCCCTCTTATGGCCTCCCCATCACCTCTGGGCATTTAATGCTCTACTCAGCGTTCTCTGGTTGCATCTGTCCTCAGCTCCCTTGTGACTGATGGTTCAGTGGTCAGGACTGAGGTGCTGTCTCTCACACAAACTCTTAGGCCACTATCAAGTCCAGAGCAGTGACTGGCCCCAGGCCTATTTGCAGTATGACAAAGACTTGACCGTCTCTGTGATGGGGACCAGGCAGTGTGACTTAGGTCCTTGTCCCACACCCAAGCCGTCCCTCCCAAACCCCCTGGGTCCGGGGGCAGAAGTGCCCTTGACGGCCCCGTGTGCAGCCTCCCGATGCTCACGAGCGCTTTCCACCTGAGCCTCAGCCTGTGGGGCCGTGACCAGGCTGGTGTGTCATCAGGACAGTCCAGTGTGAAGATGGGACTGCACCAAAGGTCACGGATCACGGAAGGGCCTCTGAACTCTGGGTTCTGAGGGACAACTGACTGTGGGGAAGGCCCCCGAATCTGGTGTCAGGCCCAGGGGTAAGGTGGGTCTATGGTCCTGGCTGGGGCTCTGATGGAAGGCTTGCATCTCCTTCTCCTATTGAGCTGGTGCCCTGGCTCAGCCCGGGATCCCTGCAAGTCTCAACAGCCATCGTCACCCTCCTTCCCTCCTGTTCCATCCACCTACAGGAGCCCAGCGGTGTCAGGAGAATGAGTGACCAGGTCTGCACACAAAGGAACAGTTAGGGACCCTGAGGGTTCAGGACACCAGTGTGACTCTTTGGGGCTCCTGTGTGGGAGCCGCTGGTGCCTGGACACAGTGCAGCCCGACTCAGCGGCTCCTTCCAGGGCAAACAGAGCTGATGTTCCAACCAGGGGGTGGCCAGTCAGCTGGGAGAGTCCAGACCACCCACAGGGCCCTGGAAGGGACCACGGGACACATCTGAGGAGGAGCCCAGACCTGAGAAGGCACAGTGACCCTGCTTGCTGTCAGTTAGTGGAGTTTGCGACACACGGATCCCAGTAGGAGCAAGGAACTTGTATTGTCACCTCTGCTGACACCCACCCGAGCGCCCTCTCAAGGGGACGTGCATTGAAATCAGTAATAAGGTGAAAAGGAAAAGTGTTTGTATAACCTTCCTGCTCAGTGCTGACGGTTTACTGTGTTTGTGTGTAAGAAGATATTTCACAACAGGTTAAAATTTGTTTCTTATTGATTGCTGAATATTGTGTTTATTTTCCTACAGACGTTGTCAAAGATTTTGTTTAATATTGGGAAAAGAATAGCATATACTTTGTAGTATGTAGCATGTACTTTGTATACTTGTAGAATTATACACCATTTTTATTCATTGTACATTGGAAACTTTTAAAAGTATTTTTTAATTAACTCTCATAGTCCCCTATCTACACATGGTAGTTGTCCTCACTTTAAACTTCAATTGACTCCTCACCTCCGAATATTTTCATTTTTCTTGCTTCTGTTACTGATTTGACACTTCCGCAGTCACACCTGTCACGGCAGATGTGTCAGCAGCCAGCACGAGGGCCCACGACTCAAGGGCGACAAAGCTGCTGTGGGAGCTTTAGGCCCAACACTCCCCGGGTGGAAGGCACACAGTCCTTAGTACGACAAGGAGGAACTCTTCATGTCCCCACGTCCGCATTTCCTTCTACAGAACCAGCAATTTAATGCAAGTGGCAGCTACTTAACATTAATGGAAAATGTCACATGTGTTTTTCTACTATTTAAGGCTGCTGCAATTTTAAAATAAACAGCCAAAAAAACTTTGCTTGGAGACAAATATACTCCCTTCGCCCCACGATGGATCCCCACTTGAGTGTGTCTTTGGTTCATGACAAAGCTTCACAGTCACTCACTTCTCAAGTTCCATTCCCAGCGCCTGCTGTGGAGCCTTTTTCTTCCACTTGCAAAAATGTCCCAGAATCGGACAGGCCTCACGAAGGGCCTCGAGTGACGACGCGGTGAGGACAACGGGCTCCTTTAGCCACATGAACGGTCACAGATCTCCTCTGCTCTGTGTGACGAGCCGCACACTGAAATCCCGGCTCAGCTGGAGGACCAGGGCGCACACAGCACTGAGGACCAGGGTCCGCAGGCGTCCAGGCCCTGCCTTCTCACAGCTCAGCTGATCCCTGAGGCTCACAGCAGCCGCCCCTGAGTTCCTGGGCCTGCAGGGAGCCCCGTCCTCACAGGGGACCTGGGGGCTCCACTGCTGACGGCAGGTGCTGATGGGGAGCAGTGTGTGCAGAGCAGGGGGTCAGGCCCAGGACACCAGCAGGGAGGGGACAGCCTGTGGCCTCAGGAGGACAGAAAGAGCCCACACTCAGGGGTTGGTGCTGATGGGGAAAGGCCCTCACATGTGTGGGGTCCTGATAAACACTGATATCAGATTGCTTGGATCGTTGTGTCAGATTCTGGTAGGTTCCTCACTCCTGAGCTGAGGACATTGGCATCAGCCTCCCACTGACCACTCCCCTCCCTGTCCAGAAGGGACCTGTGTCCCTGGGTAAAGTATCCCCCTGGCAGAGTAAACAGACTGGGATGTGAAACCAGAAAGGATTCCTTTCTCCTCAACACCAGAGACACTGGGAAAGTCTTCAGATCCTCAAAGGACAGTCAGAGATTGCACAACCGAGTCACTTCTGACGTGAAGTCACATGAAGGGAAGTGACCACAGATGGTGGGACCACAGGGCGGGGGGGGGGGGCCGGTCGTATCTTCAATCCTCACGCTGGAACACACTGAGGAAAACATTTTCTACCAGGTCCCATACATCAGCCTCTTCTCGGGACTGGATATAAAACTCGTGTGGGAAGTGTTCCTTGCCAAACCTGAAGCCGGACTTTCCATCGCAAAAGGCTCTGAGACACATGTCCCAGATCGCCCACTCCAGGGCTGCTGCTGTCCCCGAGCCACACTGTCCACGTCTGTGGTGCTGCTGCTTCGGCAACAGGTGACCGTGTTCCTGAGACCCGACCCCACGTGGTGGGTGCATGAGCCAGCACAGCCTGCAGGCGGGAACTGGAAGACACAAATAAAGAGGGAGTGAGATGTGGGGCCCCTGCTTCTTTGTCCCCCGCTTAACTCCCTCGAGAACCAACATTCCCAGAGGTTGTGGTGGTTCCAATGGGCTCAGAGTGTTGATGAGATTTCAGGAACTTTATGTGTTAAAATCACCCAGTTGTATCCCTGCTGCTGCCTCTGCCAAGACAGTAGCTCTTGACTGTCTGTCCTGGTCCCAGGCCCTGAAGGAGGCTGGACTAGCAGGGACAGGTGCAGGACCTGCGTGCACAGGGCAGGGACCCCACTGCAGGGCAGGGGCGGAGCTGGGGCAGGAAGCCCTAGGGAAGGAGAGAGTCAGGGAGCTTCACCTGTGTCGGGTGTGATCGGTGAGGAGGAGGGGAATCCAGGACCTGGGGAAGACGACCTGAGCCCTGATCTAGGCCCGGGAACCAGCCTCACACCCACAGCCCCCTCCGCAACACATGTGGTGGAAGAGCTTGCAGTTAACTAACCGCACGTCCTTCCATTTGGGAGAAACGGTTGTCTCGCGCACACTGAGAATTTTGAACCACAAACTAGGACATTTCCTTAAGTTTAAATTTCCTGCCATGCTTTGCACTTTTCACTGTATCCGATTATCCTTGCTTTCAGATTGACCCTTAAGTATTTCATATGTATGCCGAATAGTCCTGGCACCAAATAAGCCGGTTCGGGTGCCTGCTCCAAGGAAAGCCAAATGGTGAGACAGAAGCTGGTGCAAAAGACCGAGGCTTGTTTAGGTGCCTTAGGACCTGGGAGACAGGTGGACCCCTGAGTCCAAGCCCATCTCCCCTTCCTGCTCAAGCTGGAAGATCTTACAGGAGTAGGAAGGGGAGGGCTCTTTTCTTCTATCCTATTGTCTTGCTGGTATTCCGTAGGTTGGATCATGTCCATTCATCTTACCAGCTATTGGTGGCTCAGTGTGTCTCCTTGCTGCCATCTTTGCTAATGGGGAAGAGACTCCCCGAGTCCCTGACTCTCTGTGGTACCTGGGTCAGTGGGGAGGAGGTGGGGGCTGCAGGACACACTGTCAGGGACCCTGGAGACCCGCAGTCCTCAGCCCACACCCTGATGCTGGACAAGGTACCAGGCATCCTGGGGAGCCCGTTGGAGTCTCATGAGCATCCCTGGGTCCCAGCCGGCCCACCTGTGCTCTGTGAAGCATCCACATGGCCCATGACTCACAGTGGCCAGCAGGGACCTCGCTTCCACTGGCAGCAGCCTATGGTAGCAGTACTGCTGTTCTTTTTTACATTCTGAAAGCTCACTGCTAGTATGTACAACAGGGTGCGGTTTACGCCGACGTGTCGGTTTGCATCACCCAATGCAGACTTGAGCACTCAGACTAGAATCCTGTCTCAGTCACCCCTGCAGCCTGAGCCGGCCTTGGCCGGGGTCAATGTGACTTGACCTCCTCAAACGTCTCTGATGGGAAATGGTTCTTTCTCAGCAGGGAATTTCTGTCTGTGAAACAGTTAACACAGTGAGAACATATGGGCAAGATGCGTTCTAAAGGTTGCACTGAAGGAAAAGAGGTGACATTGTCAGAACTACTGGTCCACGGAAA